CGCATTGGCTAGGCTGACTTCACTGCACTCCTGGAAGTCAGGCTGCGACCTCTTTAAAAACTGAGGGTGAGCCGGTCTCCGTGGCTCACGCCTGTAATCCTAGCATTTTGGGAGGCTGACGTTGGCCGATCACCTTAGGTCAGGAGTTTGAGACCAGCCTGACCAATTTGATGAAATTCCGTCTCAACTAAAAATACAATTAGCCGGGTGTGGCGGCATGCACCTGTAATCGCAGATTCTCGGGAGGCTAAGACAGGAGAATTGCTTGAACCCGGGAGGCAGAGGTTGCTGTGATCGGAGATTGCACCATTGCACTCCAGCCCAGGTAACAAGACAAAACGCCTCTCAAAAAAAAAAAAAAAAAAAAAAAAAAAAAAATTGACAGCGGTTCTGTAGCAGGGAGAGGCAGATAAGGAAGGGTAAGGTAGTCATGGGATAGGGGGCTGCACGAGATCCATAGCTGGACACCTAGGCCTCTTGTTCTCGGTACCCTTTTGAGCCATCTTCTGGTTCAGTTCTGAAGTAGCAGAGCTTCACGGTGCCGGTTGGTTTCTCTTGACATCCTCCTGTGTGCTGGGGACAGCAATATGTCACAATTCCTACTTTTGGCAAGGCCCTTGTAGAAGAAAAGAATTATATCACCTAGGTGCTGGGTTCAGTGTGATGGTACTATCTTTCTAAGAGCAGGGCCCGTTCACAGGAGTCATATGTACTAAATTCCTGGCCCAGGTATGTGTCACAATTTTATTTGTAAACCGAACCCAGTCTGGAAAGTCAAATCACTCACACATTGGACAAATGTATATTTTACAATAACACTCGTGGAAAGTTCCATTGATGATTCCCCATCTCATACATGTCTTGGCTCCAGGTATAAGTGTCACCATTGGCCAGCCACAGAGGCCTGCACTTGTAATTCCAGCACTTTGGGAGGCCCAGGTGGGCGGGTTACATGAGGTCAGGAGTTCAAGACCAGCCTGGCCAACATTGCAAAACCCCATCTCTACTTAAATAAATAAATAAGCCGAGTGTGTTGTCTCATGCCTGTAATACCATCTACTCAGTAGGCTGAGGGCTGAAAATTGCTTGAACCCTCAGAGGTGGAGGTTGCATTGACCCGAGATCATGCCACTGTGCTCCATTCTGGGCAACAAAGTGAGACCCTGTCTCAAAAAATAATAATAATAATAAAGTCATCATTGTGCCTGTGAATTGGTTCCAGGTCCCATGGCACGATACCAACTCTGGGCAGAGAGACAGCAAAAAAGGCACATCAACTGTGTGCTGGTCCAGGGATATGTAACCATCCCTTTTGTGGGCAGAATCCTGGCAGAAGGTGTTGGGTCCAGTGTTATCAAAATCTTTCCTGTAGGCAGAGTTTAGGTAAGAGAGGACACTCAATTCACCTAGATGATTAGCCTAAATATATGTCACAATGACCTTCATGGGACATCAGTGAGAATGACCCTGGGTTCAGAGAGCAGCTTATGGGCCCACAGGCAGGCCTATCCTTGAGATCACAGGGGTCATAGCTTTTGGGGAGACTCACCTGCACACCGTTGTGGCAGGTCTGAGGCCGTGATTCCCTGCTTGTTCTTCAGGACTCGGCCTGAGCTGTCTTTATCTTTGTTGGTCCTCTGGGAATCCTGGCATTTGGGGGCCATCTGTCAACCTCCTTAAGAGATCAGCCTGGAGCTGCCATACACACTGCCATGGAGGGATTCACCCCGCCTCAGGGACCCATCCCCCTGGCCAAGTCAGGAGAGCGACATCACCTTGGTTCTTGGCTCAGTGATAGGTCACAATCACTTCAGTGGGCAGAGACCAGGTGAGAGAGCAGAATCACATCACCTATGTGTTGTGCTAAGTGATATGTTACAATGCTTCCAGTAGAAAGAACCCAGGCAGGACTGTCCCATTACCTGGTTTAGTATCTAACTATATGTCACAATGCACTCTTAAGTGCAGGACCAAGGCAGTAGAAGGAAGTCACATCACCTTTGTGATGGACCCAGAGATAAGTCACAATGCCCAAAGTAAGCAGGTTCCAGGTAGTGAAGTCACATAACCTGGGTCAGGGCCAGGGAAAATTTAACATTACTTAGGTGATTGATTCGTGTATATGTCACAACCTTATCTGTGGACTTGGTCTCAGAAAGAAAGTCAAACCTGAGTTTTGGGAAAAGGCATATGTTTGAATCACACTCAGGAATGTACACAAATGAATTTCACAGTCCCACAGAAGTCCCAGCTTCAGGTAAGAGAGGCAACCCCGCCTGTGAGTTGGGTTCAAGTACAGGAGTCACAATCTCAACAATGGGCAAGAGCTGTGCATAGGAGCCCCAATCCCACCTGCAGATTGTGTTCCACTGGGGGAGCCACAGCCTTACAGGTCTGCTGAGTTATGGTTCAGGAGTCACCAAGCCACCTGTAGACCAGATCCACATATAGGAGTAAAAATTCCAACTTGCAACTGTTTTTGTGTTTAAGTGCCTTGTCAGTAGGCTCTATTCATGTGTGAGTATTACGATTATGTCAGCTGGGTCTACATATGAAAGTCACAATCTTACCTGTTAGCTGAGCCCATTTATAAAATTCTCTGTATCAGTCTAGGGCTTTATTCAATAGGCCTGAGTTTTGTGATTCTCTATGAACTTTATACAAGTAGGAGATGCGTGACTTTGCCTTTGGCCCTAAGCCTGGCTGTGAGAGTCAAAATATCTCCTACTGGCTGTGTCCAGGTATAAGAGTCATCATTGTGCCTGTGATCTGGGACCAGGTATATGTCCTAATTTCACCTGTGGGCAGGGACAAGACAGGAGAGTCACATCACCTTGGTGCTAGGCCCAGTGATATGTCACAATGCCCACTGTAGGCAGGGCCCAGGCAGGAGAGTCACATCATCTGAGTTCTTGGTTTAGTAGAATGCCACAATTCCTTCTGTAAGTAGGGCCCAGGCAGCAAGAAGAGTCACATTACCTCGATGCTGAGCCTAGTGATATGTCACACTGCTCCCTGTTAGCAGGGCCCAGACAAGAGAGAAGAGTCATATCACGCGACTGATTGGCACAGATTTGTCACAATCTTCACTGACAACAGGGCATAGGAAGAGAAGGAGGGCCACATTGACGAGGTGATAGGCCCAGCTGTATGTCACAATCTTTCTTGTAAGCAGAGCCCAGACAGGTTAGAAGAGTAGTTACATGAGTAACCTATGGTATGGACCCGGTGTTACGTCACAATTCCTACTGGAACCAGGGCCTGGCAAAACAGAAAAGTCACAGCACCTCTGACAAAGGAAACTTATTTTTATCCTTAGTAACACATTCGGGATGGTCTGCAATTGTGTTGTTGTTGTTGTTGTTGTTATTGTTGTTGTTTTCCCAGAGAACCAGAGGAGGAAAACAAAGCTTCGTTCCTGAGGGGGAAAAACATGAGGTTGGAAGAATTTACACACCTTTCCACAGCCTTAACTTAGAGAATTTTTTTTTCTTTCAAATTGTTTCCCTCATATCCTAAAGAGAAGAAAACATTCTTCTATTTCCAGCCCTTGTATGGCAGGAAAGAGTTCCTAGAGAGAGAAGACAAAGACGGTCTGTGTTGCAAACGAAGCCCCAGGCTGAAGACTGGAGATCTGAATGTGCTACTTGCAAGGGAACTGGAGACAATGAAAATCGTATCAGGTAAGTTGGATGCTAAAAGCTTGTCTGGAGGGCATGAAGGTTCCATGTTTATGATTTGCTCATCACAGGAAAAATGGAAAACCAAATGGCAGGGTAGGACCTTCCTTAAAATATGATTTAGTGGAAAGAGTCCTTCAGAAACAGATTTCATCCACTGATAAACCTCCCACACACGGCTACACTCTGGACTTAGGTGTCCATAAGAGTGAGAATCTGCATTTTTAACACCGGGTATTGTTTTTCTCTCGACAGGACAAGTTGACAACGGGTCTCTGTGTATAGGCCATCAAAGCAATTTGATCGAAACGCTTTGTAGCAAGATGATGATGTTTTCTTTGAAAACAATAAAGTGAGTAAGATCTGTTAGCATGTTGTGCTTGGCTTTCATGGGGTTCCTCAGCGGCATGCCTGGACATCCGTTTCAGGATTTGGCTTCGCCCGGAAAGCTTCTGAGATGCTCTCTCCACCGGATCTACCCAGAGGGGAGGCCAGTTCCCGGTGTGGCCGCCTCTGCCGCTCACTGGGCTTGCCACTTTGTCTTTCTTCACACCTTCTCCGGACAGCAGTGCTGAGAAGCAGGGGTCCCTGGGCTTGGAGACCAATTCAGGGCCCCTTGGTGGGTGGTCCAGGTCAAAGCGGGGCAGTGAGCTCATGGAGCTGGGGAACTTTCTGATGACACCCTCCCGGAGGGTCTCAGGAATCTTTCTGGGTTCCGCCGACCCCCTCTCCCAACCTCACCAGACTGAATCTCCAGCCCTCTGGGACCCGATGCCTGCCCACGCCGTACGATCTGGAATCCACCGGGTAGAGCAGTCCCAAGTGCCCACCTCAGAGTCTCAAGCGCCCTCCCAGTTCTGCCTATCCGAACAGGAAAGTCAGGAAGGTCGGGCTCCTGCGCAGCTTGTGGCACGTAGCCTCCTTCCCCGGGGCCGCCTCGGACACCACATTTTACCGTGCCGCTACGGCAGGCCGGCAGCAGAGCTCGGATATTGCCCCTAGCCAGCCGGGCACGCCAATGCGCAAGCGCAAGCCGCGCGTGAAAAGCGCAAAAGCCCAACGGGGGCTCGCGTCACAGTGATCGCCCCCGTGACCTGGGGAACCACCGTCTCAGCGGTTTGGCAAAGCAGGGGCCATCCGTGGCAGTGCCTCGGCGTTGGGAGACGGCCCCTCTCTCCCCGGGATCGTTGCCATGGTCCCGCGATTTCAGGAGTTGCCCAGGGCAGAACCAGGCTGAGAAAAGCTGCAGCAGAGCTTCAGGGATGCCCAGGGCGATCCCCAAGGATCCCCACAATGCTACAGGCTGCTCAGACGCCGTGAGGGGTGCGTCTCCTTGAAAGCTGTCCCTGCTGGGATTTCCAGGTACCGCCATCCTGTGCGCCTCGGGACTGCTCACTCCGCGAGGGGCTTCTCGGCAGAGAGCACAACCCAGTAGCCTCAGGAGCTACCTGCGACTGTTGGATATCTCTGTGTGTCTTTCGTTCTGTGTGTGTGGGTGTGTGTGTGTATCTTCCTGTGTATGTTCATTTGTGTGTGAGCCCTGTATGCTGGACATGAGTGTGGCCAGCGCACTCCAGCATGGTTTCTCTGTAGACCCTCTACCTCTGGTACCCATCTGTCCTCGGCTCAGCTTTGGGGCTGTTGGGCCCCCCCTTCTTTGTGTCGTTCCTGGTTTCTGAAACGTTAGACTATATTCCTTTAACAAATGTTTGTGTGCCTTCTGTATTCCAGGTACTGTATCAGCAAAAACAGTACAAAGACAAATAACTTTCCTGTGAAAAAGAGCTTTCACAGTCAACCATAAAATAACTATTAAATGCCTTCTCTTAGGCTAGGTGCGGTGGCTCATGCCTGTAAACTCAACACTTTGGGAGGCCGAGGCAGGCGGGTCACTTGAAGCCAGTAATTCAATACCAGCCTGGCCAGCATGGTGAAACTGTCTCTACTAAAAATGCAAAAGAATTATTTGGGCATGGTGGCACGCCCCTGTAATCCCAGCTACTTCGGAGGCTGAGGCAAAGAACCACTTGAGCCTGGGAAGTGGAGGTTGTAATGAGCCAAGATCATGCCACTGAACTCCACCCCGGGTGACAGAGTGAGGCTCTGTCTCAAAAAAAAAAAAAAAAAAAAAAAAACTTCTCTTAAAGTTGGAGGAAAAAATGTCTAGAGTCTGCTAGTCAACAGCTTTGAAAACCTGGAAATAATTCTTTTAAGCTCGGAATATCTAAAATTTTAACTATAATAAAAAATCATAATACCAGTTTATTAATCTACAGGGAGCCCAGGTTGGTTGTAAAATCATGTCCTCAGTAGGAAACTCTACTTAGAAGTCAAATTATAATCCTAAATTACAATGGTGGCTTCAAGGACGCACACTTGTACAGGACCCAGCAAGAAATCCGGTCAGATTTTCAAGTTTTGCCATCCCTTTGCCTAGTTACTATTCTTCTGTTAAAACATCCTTTCAACAAGAATTAGCCAGGCGTAGTGGTGGGCGTCTGTAGTCCCAGCTACTTGGGAGGCAAGGTGGGAGGATTGCTTGAGTGGGAGAGGTGGAAGTTGTAGTGAGCCGAGATCGAGCTACTGCACCCCAGTCTGGGTGACAGAGACCCTGCCTCAAAGAAATAAAAAACAAAAACACCCTTTCTTCCACAGTGCTTCATATATTTGAATACCATGGTTCACAGAGGTAGTACATTGGCAGCAGTTAGCTGTGTGTCCTGCTCACAGGCACCTTGTTTGGCATCACTGTTTTAAAAGTAGCTCTTTTAGATAGGAGTCTGTACTCTCTAATGGGTCCTAGTCCTTATGTCAGGTCATCTTTTATTGTCACTTGCCTAGCCTCTGCAGCCATTTGATTTAGCAATTTTAAGGCTTTCTTTTACGTAAACCACACACATCCATGATATGACACCCCCAGCCATCTGGAGTGCTCATTCACTACTCTAGAGTCTAGGTCTGTGCTGTCCAATACTGTGGTCACTAGTTGCATGGTTCTATTGAGCTCTTAAAATGAGCCCAGTCCGAAATGAGATGTTCTGTAAGTATAAACACCAAATTTTGGAAACTTAGTACGAAAAAATGAATGTAAGCTATCTTGTTAATAACTTAAGATTGGTTACATGTTGAAATGATATTTTGATCTCTCTTTCTTGAGGCAGCGTCTTGCTCTGTCGCCTAGATGGGAGGGAGGGCAGTGGTGTGATCATAGCTCACTGCAAACTTCACCTCCAGGGCTCAAGGGATTCTCTCACCTTATCTTCCCGAGTTGCTGGGACTACAGGCACACACCACCACACCCAGCTCCTTTTTGTATTTTTTGTTGAGACGGGGTTGGGCTATGTCGGCCAGGCTGGTTTTGAACATTTGTGCTCAGTCTTCACCTCAGCCTCCCGAAGCGTTGGAATTACAGGCCTGAGCCACAGCGCCCGGCCGACCAATGTTCTTTTTTTTTTTCTTCCCATTTATTTATTTTATTGCATTTTAGGTTTTGGGGTACACGTGAAGAACATGCAAGATTGTTGCATAGGTACACACGTGGCAGTGTGATTTGCTGCCTTCCTCCCCATCACCTACATCTGGCATCTCTCCCCTTGCTATCTCTCCCCAGCTCCCCACCCCTCACCATCCCTCCCCTATTTCCCCCCAACTGACCCCAGTGTGTAGTGCTCCCCTCCCTGTGTCCATGTGTTCTCATTGTTCAACACCCGCCTATGAGTGAGAACATGTGGTGTTTGACCTTCTGCTCTTCTGTCAGTTTGCTGAGAATGATGGTTTCCAGGTTCATCCATGTCCCTACAAAGGACACAAATGCATCGTTTTTGATGGCTGCATAATATTCCACGGTGTATATGTGCCACATTTTCCCTGTCCAGTCTATCATTGATGGGCATTTGGGTTGGTTCCAGGTCTTTGCTATTGTAAACTGTGCTGCAATGAACATTCATGTGCACGTGTCCTTATAGTAGAACGATTTATAATCCTTTGGATATATACCCAGTAATGGGATTGCTGGGTCAAATGGAATTTCTATTTCAGGTCCTTGAGGAATTGCCACACTGTCTTCCACAATGGTTGAACTAATTTACACATCCACCAACAGCGTAAAAGTGTTCCTATTTCTCCACATCCTCTCCAGCATCTGTTGTCTCCAGATTTTTTAATGATCGCCATTCTGACTGATGTGAGATGGTATCTCAATGTAGTTTTGATTTGCATTTCTCTGATGACCAGTGATGATGAGCATTTTTTCATGTTTGTTGGCCTCCTGTATGTCTTCTTTTGTAAAGTGTCTTTTCATATCCTTTGCCCACTTTTGAATGGGCTTGTTTGTTTTTTTCTTGCAAATCTGTTTTAGTTCTTTGTAAATTCTGGATAACAGCCCTTTGTCAGATGGGTGAACTGCAAAAATTTTTTCCCATTCTGTTGGTTGCCGATTCACTCTAATGACCGTTTCTTTCGCTGTGCAGAAGCTGTGGAGTTTGATTAGGTCCCATTTGTCTATTTTGGCTTTTGTTGCCAATGCTTTTGGTGTTTTGGTCATGAAGTCCTTGCCTACACCTATGTCCTGAATGGTTTTGCCTAGATTTTCTTCTAGGGTTTTTATGGTGTTAGGTCTTATGTTTAAGTCTTTAATCCATCTGGAGTTAATTTTAGTGTAAGGTGTCAGGAAGGGGTCCGGTTTCTGCTTTCTGCACATGGCTAGCCAGTTTTCCCAACACCATTTATTAAACAGGGAATCCTTTCCCCATTGCTTGTTTTTGTCAAGTTGGTCAAAGATCAGATGGTTGTAGATATGTTGTGTTGCCTCCGAGACCTCTGTTCTGTTCCATTGGTCTATATCTCTGTTTTGGTACCAGTACCATGCTGTTTTGATTACTGTAGCCTTGTAGTATAGTTTGAAGTCCGGTAGTGTGATGCCTCCCACTTTGTTCTTTTTGCTTAGAATTGACTTGGCTATGTGGGCGGTCTTTTGATTCCATATGAATTTTAAGGTGGTTTTTCCCCATTCTGTGAAGAAGGTCATTGGTAGCTTGATGGGGATAGCATTGAATCTGTAAATTACTTTGGGCATTATGGCCATTCTCACGATATTGATTCTTCCTAACCATGAACATGGAATATTTCTTTATCTGTTTGTGTCCTCTCTTATTTCGTTGAGCAGTGGCTTGTAGTTCTCCTTGAAGAGGTCCTTTACATTCCTTGTTAGTTGTATTCCTAGGTATTTTATTCTCTTTGTGGCAATTGTGAATGGAAGTTTGTTCTTGATTTGGCACTCTTTAAGTCTGTTATTGGTGTATAGGAATGCATGTGATTTTTGCACATTGATTTTGTATCCTGAGACTTTGCTGAAGTTGCTTATCAGTTTCAGGAGCTTTTGGGCTGAGACGATGGGGTCTTCTAGATATACAATCATGTCGTCTGCAAATAGAGACAATTTGACTTCCTCCTTTCCTATTTGAATACCCTTTATTTCTTTTTCTTGCCTGATTGTTCTGGCTAGAACTTCTAGTACTATATTAAATAGGAGTGGTGAGAGAGGGCATCCTTGTCTAGTGTCAGATTTCAAGGGGAATGCTTCCAGTTTTTGCCCATTCAGTATGATATTGGCTGTTGGTTTGTCATAAATAGCTTTTATTATTTTGAGATACGTTCCGTCAATACCTAGCTTATTGAGGGTTTTTATCATAAAGAGTTGTTGAATTTTGTCAAAGGCCTTCTCTGCATCGATTGAGATAATCATGTGGTTTTTGTCTTTGGTTCTGTTTATGTGGTGAATTACGTTTATCGACTTGCGTATGTTGAACCAGCCTTGCATCTCCGGGATGAAGCCTACTTGATCATGGTGGATAAGCTTTTTAATGTGCTGTTGCAATCGGATTGTCAGTATTTTATTGAAGGTTTTTGCATCTATGTTCATCATGGATATTGGCCTGAAGTTTTCTTTTCTTGTTGAGTCTCTGCCGGGTTTTGGAATCAGGATGATGTTGGTTTCATAAAATGATTTGGGAAGAATTCCCTCTTTTTGTATTGTTTGGAATAGTTTCAGAAGGAATGGTACCAGCTCCTCTTTGTATGTCTGGCAGAATTCAGCTGTGAACCCATCTGGACCTAGGCTTTTTTTGGGTGGTAAGCTCTTAATTGCTGCCTCAACTTCAGACCTTGTTATGGGTCTGTTCAGGGTTTCGGCTTCTTCCTGGTTTAGGCTTGGCAGGAGGCAAGTGTCCAGGAATTTATCCATTTCTTCCAGGTTTATTAGTTTGTGTGCGTAGAGTTGTTTGTAATAATCTCTGATGATGGTTTGAATTTCTGTTGAATCTGTGGTGATATCCCCTTTATCGTTTTTTATTGCATCAATTTGG